ATAGCATGATTACGTTTCTTTCTCCGTTTTTACGTTTTCTGAAACCGGTTTGCAGTTGATTACGTTCGTGTATTAATTGGTTAACATTGTAATGCAATACGGTAAAAATAAATACAAATAGAAAGTATATAAAAAATGTCTTGTATAAAAACCCATTACATGTATGTTTAAAAGTATTTCATATGAATTAGTGCAAAACATGTAATTATTAAAAAAAACTGCAGTGCGACTAATAATTTTGTCTGATTATTACAATATACTAATATAATACCTGATATAATAAATATTTTATATTTATATAATGTATCGTCGAATTTATATTATCGTCGAATTTATGTTATATATCGTCTGATTTATGTTATATATCGTCTGATTTATGTTATATATCTTCTGATTTAACGCATTCATGCACGAGTGTAAACAAATGCAAACCGGTTTCAGTTGCGTAAAATCAATAAAGCTGTATAGTATCTCCTGATAATTAAAATTCTGAATAGAATCTTATATTGCTTCTAATAATTTGGCCAGGGACTGTATATAATTTTATTTAAGAAACTGCATAACACGAACGCCTGAAAAGAAGAGAGGGAAATATGCAGGGACTTGCCTTTTGAGCAGCTCTGTTAAATAAAGATCGGATTGCGCGCATTATAGTTCGAAATTTTTCATACCGCCCATTTATGTAGAAAATTTTCTAATGGTTTCATATCTTAGATTTTAGATCGTTTTTTTGTTTACTTTATTCTTTGACATAATAAATTCTACCAAAAACAGAGAAAAAAATCTAAATTAGTAACGCTTTCTATTAGTTTTACTTCCATTTGTTGAAAAATACGTCATCCATATAATTTATTCAACATTAACACAAATTACAGAAAAAGAAAAATAATTAGAAATAAAAAATTCTTCGAATTAATCTTAATTTACTTTTACCTTCATTAACAGACGACATCCTTAAAGAATCTTATAGAACTGAAATGAAACAAATTACCAAACGATTATAATATACTTTATAAATTCAGTTAAAAGAAAAAAATCGTTCTAAGTGTTTGCTGAAGCGTTCCGCTTAAGCCTCATCTTTATTTAATAATTTCTTGATAGTTCGTTCCATTTTAATAACTAGCATTAAGGTAATCAAGATAAGGAAAAACCTTATCTTATTTGTCATGAATGAAATTAAGTTTTTTCTGCTTGTTTTGAACTAAAAGTTTTTGAAAGTTTGTGACAGAAAGCGTCATATTATGCGAGCCTTCGAAGAAGATTCAAAGTTTCAACATCTGAGTTCAATAAAAAATGTGTTACTTAGGAAAAATAAACACAAAAAGTATTTTTTATATAAAAATATAATGAAAAAAAAACGTCTTCTTGGTACGCTTTTTTTTAATGGGAAATGACCACATTTTCATGACCACTTAACATTTGAGTCAAAATTATGTATCCGTCTTAAAAAATAGATGCGTTTCTCTAAAGAAAGTACAATAAAAGTCTATAATAACAAACATAAATTTATTCAAAATGCATACCTAGAGCATAGTTTGTCTATAGTTAGAACTCTCTCGCTACGAAGTCTAAGGCTTTTAGCTGCTATGGAAACAAGAAATAGCGCATTTCAAAGAGTAGACCTTCTTTCTACCTTAATCCCCTTTCTCTCTCACTGATCCGAGTTTGTCTTATATAATTACCCCACACCCCTATATGAAATAGTTAAATCTCGTAACCATAGTCACCACCCCCACTCAAGATGAATGGCTGGGGGAGTTCTTAATATAGACAAACTATACATTGTCTTTGCCTACAGATTGCGGACTCAATTGCGTTGCTGTTTTCGTAATTTTCGCATAATACGCATTCCATAAATTTTCAGGGCAGATATATTTGACCAAATTTCTAAATAGCAACAAGTTTTTGTAAGAAGAAAATAAAATAAATACCTTTTGACGTTTGATAACCGTGAAAGTTAGCAGTAAGATTAATAGTGACCGACCTACCCCCGGAGGAGTTTTCGGATATGGTTTCGACCCGGCTCCATGTGAGAGACAAACACTAGAAAATTACAGTTAAATCAAAACTAATAAAGATTGATACGCATTAGAAAATGTCACAATATCGATAGCGTGTAAATTTAAAACAATAAATCAAGTATATTAAACCACGTGGGACAGTAAAATATAGTTAATAAATGAACGCAAAATGTGCCAGTGCAAGAACAGATAGTTCAGCATCCCCAAATGATATTCGTAAAATTTAAAATCAATCATAATAATTCCAAAAGGGATTCACTGTTAAAGCCAATATGAAATTTCGGGGCAAGACTTCGAAGTGTCAGAAAAAGAGGTCACCAATGACCAAAAGTTCTCCATGGAAAGGAAAGGCCCCGGAACAGCAAACTGTCCAAGTGTCCGGCTTAAATTCCAGGTCAAAAGTTCTCAAAACATCCAAAAAAGTAAAATAAAGTTAACAGTTAACAGTATGTTGTAATTTAGGGAAATAAGGTAGTGTGTGATTCAACCAAAAGTGCATCATTTTGAAGTGCGTAGTAGAAATTTAAAAAAAACTGTAGTAGAATTTTTCAATTGAAGGGAGGAAGACTTGGTGGTCATTGCTTTATTAAAATAACGTGTTAAAAATGGCCGTATTAAAACCAGAAATAAATAACAAAAATACCAAGAAATTTAAATCTTTTTCGTATAATATTGCTCACTTAAACAGCAAGAAAATATTTTTTCATTCTTCAGTAATTTTTAACTGATTATAAACATACAATTTTTGTATCTTAAAAGTTAGCTTAAATTAAAGTTTGAATCATTGAGATGGCATCTGCAAAAGTCCTTTTTTTTCAGAATATTCTGTTTTTCATTTTGTTTCGAAACGTTTTTGTTTGAAACTTTACTGATCACATTACCTAAAATGGCCGCGATTAAATGCCAAAATGTCTTTAATTTTTGAGTGTGATTGCAGCATTTAGTAACTTTTTCTTACTTTGATTTGAAAAATATCACTGCAAGAACTGAAATCAAATGATAATTATTTTAAAAAAATATATTTTAAAGAATTATTAAGCTTAAAAACTAAATTTGGACAATCCGGAATATTTTCAGAAACAAGAGCAATCGGCATAAATATTATATCTCTTGCGACAAATATGATAAGACAAATATTTTATTTGGCCAAGATGAATGCTGATTTAGAAGTATTTTACAACTAACATATATCTTCTCACCGAAATCATGGCTAGTCACAATAATAATTTTTAATTTAGTACTAGCACACCCTCAAAAACTAGCACACCCCTTGTAAAACGCTTAACACTTTCCTAACTGCCACAATTTAAATATTTATAGTTAGATTTCGTTGACAATGCAAGCAAGAGTTTTGTCTTCGTAAATGAATATATCTCATTGAAATTGTACTCGCGATAAATTGTCCCTTCGACGAGTTGAGCCAGTGACGAATTATGATAGCGACATATTGTACTCGTGACGAATTGTGCCCACGACGAATCGTTTCCGCGGTGAACTGTGCCCACTACAAACTGTCGTCAATTTAATTTAAGCAACACCAATTAAAAATTATTCCAATACTTGACTCAAGCGTCTACGTTTAGTTTCACGAACTATATTCTAAAAACTGAATAATTCTATTAAGTTTAAATCTGTAAACAATGACTGAAATGTCTCAAAATAAATGAATATCGTTCCATTTACATGCAGCAGGTAATCCGTGTTTTAAAGACAAGATTATAGATGAAATCATTTCAAAAAACTTTATCTGCTAAGCATTGCTGTTAAGGTCAATTTTGCTACTGGTATGTGGTCAAGTGTAGCATTTTTAACACTGGCAAGATGTGGCCACTTTTTAAAAATTTTAAATGATATTTTAAAAAAAACTGTCAATAATCATAACATTGAGCCGGGGAGTGAGCGCTCACTTTTCAATGATTTGAACTCGGTTCGAATCCTAGCGAAGGCTTATATTGATCTCAGTGCTGGCGTAAAATATCCTAAATGGTAGACGGATCATGGGTTAGAGTTCCCTTGCCGTCAGATTAACGGTAGGAGTTTTTCGTGCTTTTCCTCTCCGTGTAACGCAAATGAGGGTTAGTTCCACCAATAGGTCAAATTTCTGCCAATACTTGATCCAAGAGTTCTCTTGTCCTCTGGATTGCGTTCAAAATTACAAGGCTACGGAATTAAACATTAGCTGGAACTAAACAATTAAACACAGCAAACCCAAAAAGCTGGGTAGGCTGTTAAACGGCGGTGATGAAATAAAATAATTATAACGTAAGGAATTTATTTTGAATCGTTTTTCCAAAAAATGGTAAATATTAAAAGGTACATTTCTAAAATGAATCAAAATTTAAAAAAAAAGACAAAAAGAAACGAGCATGAAATAAAGTAATTTTCACAGTATTATGAAATATTCAACATCGTTTCATGTTTATTTTAAAAAAAAAATTATAACGTGAACATGAGGTGTATTTTAAACGAAGACAGGTGCGTAACTGGCAGACGAATTTTCAACCGACGATTGTAACATCCACACTTCGAAAGTCAAGCATTTCTTTTTCCGACATATTTCTAACCAGATTTAGAGAACAAAATAAATTCATATTCGATGTTGTTGTTTTTTTCTACGTAATACTAATATATTAAAAACTCAACATTTTAGGGCAAACAAATGGTTTTGTTTATTTATTTATTTCTTTAATTTTAAAAATCAGCTTAATAACTCATTTCCTCGCATCTATTGAATCTCAAAACTCGTGCGCAAAGCTTGCTTGCAAATTTTCCTTCCTAAACCAAAAGGCCAACCCAACAAAAGCATTTCTAATTTCAAAATCCCACGCTACCCCCCCCCCTCTTTTGTCTATTTAGCACTGAATACCTTCCCACAAGAATATTTCGTAGGTGGTTTCTCCTCCAAACACACACACAGGTAGATTATCTAGGTCCCTCACCCATCCACCCCCCTCCAATACATTGCAATTCGAACAGAAAATGGGGGTCTACAAGAAACGACACGAACGCCCTCCTCTGCCCATCACCATGGCAACAGGAAGGTGGCGTGGGAGGATTCACGTCTTCAATCTGTATGGCAGTCTTCCCTGGATGGTTCTGAGGAAGGGTATGGCCACGGGCCGTCGAGATAGCAGTCCGGGCCGTTTGGGCCTGGCACTTCCTTCCATTTGGAGGAAAGTTCGTTATCGGTGGAGTCCGAATAAAGTGGACTTGGGAGCATCCACCGGTTCGTTATCAGATGCTCTTATTTATCCATGGACCTATCAGCCGCCCGATGGTAGGCCGAGAAGTTTATCTTGTCAGCTACCTGGCCCACCTTTACGTGAGCATCTTCTTTCTTATTATTATTTATTCATTGCTCTGACAGGATACCTATTAATAAACAACCATCTCTGACTGCGAGAATTTGAAAAAAGGATTGTTTTCACGTCAAGCAATTTTTTTTTTCAAAAATCAAGTAGTAGCTAAAAGAAGAAAATATTCAATAAGTTTTAAAAAAAATCATGTTTTGACAGAATTTTTTTTTTTTTTTTTTANATGACATATAAAAAAAAATCAGGCTTTAATGGATAAAGTTACACCTTTGTGACAAATCTCCTTTCATGTACAGTACGCCAATAAAATAAACCGCCTTGAATAACTTTTGGTCTAATGATCGATTCGAGGGGATAATCTCATATGCTAATTAACAAGTGCAGGTGATGTTTTAAGTTATGAAATTAGACAGAAAAACGTACTTTCTCTGAATAAACATGACTATTATTCAGCGGATTCAGATTTGAATTCAAAATTTGGATTCAAAACCCCCAAAACATAAGGGGTTGTTACAATTTGGGAAATATGGCCCCAATAGTTTGGTCAGGAGAACGGTATAAAGCTTGGTACCTGTAATGTTAATTTTACTTTTTGCGTATTACAGCATATCTCGAGAACTTTTTAAATGAATTCAAAAATGTTAGCTCACTATCATAAAATTCATTTAACCAAAGATAATTTCATATAAAAATTAACTTATAATAAATATTTGCAGACGATTTTTATTATAAGTGCAGGCGATATTTTAAGTAACGAAATCAGACACAAAAACGTACTTTCTCTGAATAAACATGCCTTTTTTTCGACGAATTCAGATATCTGACCCTCCAAAATATAAAGGGGTAGCCGCAGTTTGGGTAATATTGTGCTAATGGTTTGGGTCAAGAGAGCTGTTAAGAGCTTTGACCGCTTAAATGTTAATTTAACTTTTTGCGTTTTCCGCCATATTTCGAACACTTTTTAAGAAAATTGATAAATGTTTGCATACAGTTATAAAATTCGTTAATCCAAAGATAATTCCACGCAAAAAATAAATTTCAGTAGACATTTATTGTTTTATTTAGTAATAGTTAAAATAATTTTGAATTGTTAAGGTTCAAAATCTTTTGAAGTATCTATTTTAACATGGCAAAATACAAAAAATTTTTTGCGAAATCGGTAGAATAGTTAGTGAGAACTCGAATTTCTAAAAAGTAGTACATTTAAAATTCAATTTCTCAGAAACTATGTAACCGATTTCGCTTAAATTTTACCATGTGAAATAACAAAATTTGAAATGATAATTTATTAACGAATAATTAAAGATAATTTAAAATGGTGTAAAAATTTATATGACTTATATTTCAAAAACTTTTCGACTATTATTAAATAAAATAATAAAAATAATGAATATTTACTAAAATTTTATGTTTTGCATGGAATTATCTTTGGATAAACGAATTTTGTAATTCTGTGCAAAAATTTTACAATTCGCTTAAAAATTTCTCGAGATATGGCGAAGCACGTAAAGAATAAAATTAACATTATGGAGTCCAAACTTTGGATCGCTTTCCTGACAGAACTATGAGGACCATATTTTCCAAATTGCGGCTACCCCTATGTTTCGGAGGCCAGAAATCCGAATCCGTCGGAAAAAAAACTTATGTTTATTCAGAAAAAGTGCGTTTTGTTGTCTGATTTCGTAAATTAAAATATCGTCTACACTAATTAATTAGCATATTTGAGATCACCCCAATTGAATGGAGTCCTAGAACGTGAAGATCCGATCATTAGATCAAAACTTGTTCAGAGTGGTCCGTTTTCTTAAGCACACTGTACGTAATTAATTAACTAAAATGGAATAATTTAACTAAGAAGGAATAGACAATTCATTAATAAAAAGTGAGTTTAAATAAGCCTGGGGTTCAGACATGAAATTTCAAATGCTGAGAAATATTTGTGCAAAATGGATACTGGAGGATAACTCAAGCTTACGCTTTGGAGAAATAATTGTGCGTTAATAAGCTTAATATTAAAAAAAAAAAAAAAAAANAAAAAAAAAAAAAAAAAAAAAAAAAAAAAAAAAAAAAAAAAAAAAAAATATTCGGAATTTTTATGCTTTATGGTTTACACTAGGTTTACCAGAACTTTTCTCTAAAATACCAAAGGAAGATGATACAGAATTTCTCGGGAAAAATTCCTCCCTAGGGGTGTCCTCTTAAAAATACAGTCGAACCTGTTTTTTGTGCTGTCCTTTTTTTGTGCAATTTTTAATGCGGTATATGGAGGTTCAAAGCCGCGATAGCTCAGAGGATAGAGCGTTCGCCTTCCAATGAGGTAAACCGGGTTTGAATCCCAGTCGATACGAATTCCGCATCCAGCTTGCACCGACCACAATTCTGAAGTGAAACATCCTCAGCGGTAGACGGATCATGGGTTAGAATCCGATTGACTTTAGACTAATCATGGGAGATTGTCGTGGTCTTGTGCTTGCGATAATTTGTACTTGTGACGAATTGTACTTGCGACGTGCCCAAGATAATTTGACTCCGCGATGAATTGTGCCCACGACAAACTGTCGTCAATTTAATTTAAACAACACCAGTTAAAAATGACCCCAATACTTGGCTCAAGCGTCTGCGTTTAATTCTATAAGCTATATTCCAGAAACTGTATAATTCTATTAGGTTTAAATCTGTAAACAATGACTGAAATGTCTCAGAATAAACGAATATCGTTCCATTTAAATGCAGCAGGTTATCCGTGTTTTAAAGACAAGATTATGGTTGAAATCATTTCAAATCATTTCACCTGATAAATGTTGCGGTTGAGGTCACTTCCGCTGCTGGTCAGTTGTACTGCTTAACACTGGCGACTTTTTAAGACATGCGACCACTTTATTAAAATTTCAAATGATTTAAAAAAACTGTTAATAATCATAACGTTGAGCCGTAGTGCCTTAGGGGTGTGAGCGTTTACTTTCCAATGAGTTAAACCGGGTTCGAATCCCAGCGAAGGCTCGAATCAACCACAGTGCTGACATAAAATATCCTCTGTGGTTGACGGATCATAGGTTAGAGTTCCCTTGCCGTCAGGTTAACAGTAGGAGCTTTTCGTGCTTTTCCTCTCCATGTAACGCAAATGTGGGTTAGTTCAACACCTCCTAAAAGAAGGAAGGCCTCAGCACGGATCAATTAAGTAGTCCGATGCGACGAAGTTAACTGAGCAGTAGATGAAAAATAAGAAAGATGTCATTACGTTCGGAGTACTAAGCTGCGCAGTGGTTGAAAATATGAAATATGTCATTACGTTTGGACTACTAAAGGATATTTATGGTAACCCGTGCAGAGGCCTACTCTTTTCTAGGAGGTGCTGGTTAGTTCCATCAAAAAATCCTCCACGAAGGTAAATTTCTCCCAATACTTGATCCAGTAGTTTCTTTGTCTTCTGGATTGAGTTCAAAATTACAAGGCTACGGAGTTGAAAATTTGCTGTCGTAAACCCGAAAATTGGATCGGCTGTTCAACGATGATTATAGATATATGAAGATTCTAATATCGAATTGGAATATAATTGACTAAGTTATCAAAAAAACAATTGTAGGTTTTATCAACCATTTAGTTTTTTCGATTTTTGACACGTATTTCATCACTTTGCAAAACAATTGCGTCAGCCAATTACATTATATATGTATTGAATTCTCTAATCGTCCCGCAGTGGACTGATCGTTAAGACACGGTTCTCAGCAGATCACCGAAGTCAAGCATCACTGGCTACTGTCAGTGTGCGGGTGGGTGACCACTTGGATCAGTCTGCGTAGGGACCGAGGGTGTGCGGTATTGGTCCTCGTTAAACTGTGCTACCGTAAAGTGCTCGACTTCGCGCGCAGGTCGTCGGGCTACCGAAGCAAGGGTGCCATTCCCTCCGCAGAGGATCAAAATTGTGATGGCATGTCTTCGGATCATCCTCCGGGATGTTTCCCAGACCGTCACCAATAGCCCATTGTGCAGCTCTAGTGCGACGTAAATTAACAACAACAACAACAATTCTCTAATCGCATAATTTAATTGTTAACCGCATAAGATAATAAATGAATAAATGAAATTTATTTTGTTTCATGAATAATGTTATTCTGTACATTTATTCTGAATAAATGAAATTATTCTGTAAATAAATGAAATTTGCAATTAGCACGTAGCGAAGGAAAAATTCATTGATCGCAAATAAACATCGAAGGACATCGGGTTAGTCTTCCTGAAACAGGACTGCCATGTCTCATTAGGTCGCTGAGTTGTTAATGAGATAGTTGGCGACTAGTCCTCACGCTTTGTTTGAACGAATAAATCGAGGAAGTTTGCTTTTTTTATTCGTTTCTAATCTGCTCAAGCGACAAGTTCGCTAAGTAAAGTGATTTCATACGAAAGAATGTTACGTGTGTTTTAAATCTAATATTAATTAAAGGCGATTTCACATTCCTGGACTGTTAAGGCAAGATTTATTTCAAAGCTTGAATAGAATTAAAATTTTTTCTATTTAGATATAAATTTTTAGGATTTTTATTTTATTTCTAGACATAATCTCTGATAAGGGCAAAGCAATGCAGGGCTAAAGAGAATAGAAGGGCTAGTTCACTCCGCTCTGACAAGGGAAACTAGGGAGGTGTGACTCGCCAATTTTGAAATAAACTAGTGGGATGTATGCCTTATGAGGAATAATTTTGGGGGGCAACATTTGTTTCGGCTCATAGAAGGTTCTGTGAGAGATAAAAAATAATTCAATGTATAGAAAAATCGGTATTTGCAGACTATTAGTTATTGTAATTGTCTCATACTCCAATTAATTTGTAATTAATTACTTTCACGTACTATATAATGCATATTTATTGTTAAAATTGATTTTGAAAATTTTATGTATCTGCAGTTTTTCAGAAAAACCTGTTAGGTTAATTTGAAAAAAAAAAATTGACATCAAATTTTTTTAACTTTTTTTTTCAAAAAACTTTCCAAATTAATTGGAGTATGTAATTGC